CCCGCCGGTCTCCTGCCCATGAGCAATCCTACAAGCATGAGTTGGCCGTATGGGTGCAAACAGCGGACAGGAGAAGGTCATTGATGGAGCGGAGAGACCTAGAAGGGGCATACTTATGGATCAGTGAAGAGATATAGGAGGAGCTTGAATGAATATACATTATTAGGTGCACAAAAACTAATATTTTCAGCTAGAATGGACTGGCTGATTAACAGCCCAGGAAGGCAGTCCTACACACATTCTAGTAATATGAAGTGGTTATGGTACTTAGAGTGACCCTTCATGTGTGATCTAATATATTTCTAGTATGTAAAGTAAAAATCTAATTTTTGTTCACTGGTCTATTCATTGATGATTGATGGTTAGGTGACAGCGACTAAAAGTTGATTTTATTTAAAGATCAAGTGGCAATTGACCAATGGAGGCATAGAATGAGGACAAAAATCTATATTATATATGATATATTTAATGTTCTTCTTTTTTCCCCTCTATTGTTTTTTTCCCATTTGATGCGTGGATGAAATGGCAGAATAATGTGCCTATATTATATATATTTTGCAGTACACTGATTAGATGATTTTTGTGCCATTTTGGTTGATCCAAATCATTTTTCTCAGAATGATGCTGTGGATAAAATTAGTCAGCGCTGAAACAGCATATAGACAAATCCCGAGTAGACCAAACTAATCGCTAATTGTTATTTTTATTTTTTTTTTGCCCAAATTAATTTGGCTGAACCAAGTTTTTCCACCATATGCAAGTCTACTTTTTACTACAGGATGTAAATGCCTCCATGTTAAATGTTTGTAATGCTGTATACATTGATTTTAGCTGTTCACATTTCGACATTTGTCCCACACATCTGTTGTATTCAAAAATTACTTTTTTTCATAACATTGCTATCTCTGAAGTACTTCACAATTTTTTAATATACACAGAAAGGTTACTTGTATATTTTAAGGCGATCTATTGCATTTATATTAGAGAAACACAGAAATTAGGTGCTTACTATATACTTAAAGGCAGCAGTCAATCTTACAAGGATTCCCTAAAACTTTGTTAAGACAGGAAACCAATACAAAATATAGATAACCGTGCCTAGAACACAATAATGACCACAAGTGAAGTCACATATGAATCATATATACGTACTTTTTCATGGGATTTTTCTGATGTAACCTCTGGGGTGAAACGCATACATTTTTCCTGGCTTCCTGAAACACATATCCCCCAGGTGGGGATCAAACCATGATAGTGCTATATACTAGAGCAGGTCCATGCTCTAGTTCATCTGAGTAAGATACCTATCCTTTTGTTTATGCACAGTCACTTTGATATACATATTGCACTACTGGATATCCCTATTTTTGTCTCTAGATATCTGAGACACTGATAAAGCCTGCAGTTGAACATATATCCTGTGACGGGGATTGTACCGTCTGCGCCCAACACAGCAGAGCTCTTTGTAAATTGTGAGTAAGTTTTTGCTATAGCACTCTACTTCACTGTGTTAAAGACATACTGCACTATTATTGTCTTTCTTTTTTTCTTTTCTCTTTGAGATACCATGCACTGTATAACAGCGAAAGATCCCATAACAAAGTACGTATATATGATTTATATGTGACTTCACTTATGGTCATTATTGTGTACTATGCACAGTTATCTATTTTTTTCATTTGCTTCCTATTGCATTTATATGTTCCATTATACACACCATAGTTGTAGGACAAATATAAACAATGAAGAGTCACAGGTTGTTTAGGGGGCAGAATTACAAGGACTGAACCCAGTTTCTACTTTCCAACATTCTAGTATACACATGTAGCCCTTTAACTATACATTTATATGTGGAGTTGAATGGTTAAGAGCAGGATGCATACAGATACATAATTACATGCACAGTCAGTCACTCACATACATAGACAAGCAGTCACACACAGTTATATACATATACACACACAATCAAACACACAGTTGCGTACATACATGTCCTCATCAGTCTGTTGTTCCTGTAATATTTTGTAATTGTCCCATTTATTGTTAAATTCCCCCTTTATAATTTTGTAACTGTCTCAATTATTGGTAAATACCTCCATTTATAATATTGTAAAGTGCTGCGGAATAAGTTGGCGCTATATAAATGCTAATAATAATGCATGCACACAGTCACATACATAGACATACAATCACATACTGCCACTGGATGAGAAAAGAGGAGGCAAGAGTCACAGCAGTCCCTGTTCTCTATTGGTGGGAAAGCAGGAGACCCACGAACATTATCTCCTTCCAGTTCCCCCTTGTCGGCCAGAATTATGAAAGGCAATCGGTGTCAGTATATTGATCCTCTCCCACTGCCTGTATCAGTGAGGCAAATCATGGGCTGCAACAGATCTAAATAAAGGAAACACCATAACCACTACAGCGCCATGGAGGCAGGGAGCGACATCCAGCAAAAACAATTCTAAAACGGTTAAACTAGTTTGAATTGGGGAGTACTAGGACATTCCTGGTACCAAAATCACCGGAGTGGTGGTTATGGTGCTTGAAGTGTTCCTTTATGTAGATAGCTGCTTTTTCTTCAGTGGAAAAAAAAATATTTAAAGCTGGAATCTTGCTGCTCCACTCCATGCTGCACCCAAATTCTAGGCCAAAATATATTGCTGTACGCGCTCAGATGAGATATAGAGCAGATAGAACTTTATTATTCATTTTTTTTTAAATGCATCCAGACAATACTAAGATTTGTCATCATTTCTTTTTTAGCAAATGAGATTTATAGGGACCTGGCACGGTTCTTTGTTTTGTGCCATCCGTTATTAATTATCTGGTCTGCACTTATGCTTTAGTGTTTTTTTTACTGGAAATTTACTTAGAGGCACACTGCATTGCAGAGGTGTCCAAAGAAGTTAATAGGTTGCTGGGCATGTATTTATAGCTAAATTATGAAAAAGAAAGGGAGTATTTTATAAACACAGACACTTGAAATGGTTTCTACACATGTACCTGTTTCATCCCTGCTTATGAACTAAATACCTTCATAAGAAAAAGCTCAATTGTAAAATCAAGGGGTAGTTCAGCTATTCTATCCCACCTGTTAAAAATACCCATCTGCAGCTGGAAAAATATGTGGAAGAGTAAAAAAAAAAAGAAATCTTATTGAATACTATGTATGTATCAGTGTGGTCACGCCAATACTTCAGCCGCAATGAAGTCCCCGATCAGCACGGCTGCACATGAGCAGGACAGTCTCGCCAAGAAGGAAAAGCTACAGACCTAGATCGCGCCAGATTGCCTCCCGATCCTCCTGTAAGACGGGTCCCAGCCTTTTGCAGCATTTTAAGGGACGCTGGCCACTGCAGTCCCATTCTTACTAATACATTACACAATGCCCACATTAAAGATGGCACCGGCGTACATGTGACGTCACGCTGTAGACGCACACGCACGTTTTGGGGTCAAAGGACACGTACTGACCAATTACAGCACTGAGAGGCATATTTAAAACCTGTAAACCTTTTCTCAGTGCCCTGTCGTGGTTTCCACTTGTTGATTGTCAGAGAGTGCGTTCTTGGTAATATTTTCGTTTTTTTTTACTTTGGCTTGTATTTTGACTTTCCCTACTTCTGGTATCCTGACCTGTGGCTAGTATATTTGTATTGTCTCATTCTGTATCCCCGACCTCGACTTGTTTGTAGACCTTTCTCTTTTATGTCAAGTCTGGCCATTCTAAGGCCTGGCATATGTTGTTTGTATTTTCATAGTTTTGCGTTTTGGGTTATACAGTAGTCCTGACACAGATGCAATTGAGAGAAAACAGCACCCAATCATCAGCTTCTTCCAAAAGTGTCTGCGGAGGTAGCAGGTACTGCAAGCCTAGCAGGGAGACACCACTACAATAAATTCATTTGAAAGAAATTACATTTTAAAAGACCATTAAAGTCACTCAGACCACTTCTTCTCAATGAAGTGATGTGGGTGCAGTGGTCCTGTCATTTAAACCCTGCAATGTAAAAATGCACCACATCTGCTTTTCTCCAATCTTCTGGTACAATTCCATAAAGTACAGAATCCTGAAAGATCAAAAGCAGAGGTATGGATACTTCTACACTAATCTCCCTAAACACACATGGATGAATACCATCTGGTCCTGGGGCTTTGTTAACATTAACCTTATTTAATTTATGTAGCTCTTTATCCATTCTTTGTTGTAAGACTTTTGCAACAGGGATTTGCTAATCTACAGCCATAGATTCTTATTCCCTAAATACTGAAGAAACAAAATATTTAAAATGTCTGCCTTTCCCTGACCCTTGTTAACTAATTAAACTATCTCAGATTCCAATGGACCAACACTTTCACTTCTAACCATTATGGCATTAGCCTTCCTTAAAAACATATTGGGGTTAGTAATTTTCTCTTTGGCTATGAGCTATTCATTTTCGAGTTTAGCCCATCTAATAGCCCTTTTGCATGCTCAATTAGCGTGTTTATATTTGTTATTGGATACTATTGATCTCTCTGATTCAAATGTTTTAAATGCCCTTTTCTTATATTTTATTATTTCACTGACCTTTATGCTAAACTAATTTGCTTTGTTTATATTTGTTTCACAATAGTGTTTATTGAGAAATGTGCTTTAGTAGAATTTGCTTAAAGATCTTCCATTTATCCTCTGTGCTTTTGCTTGTGAATGATTCCTGCCAGTCAATGTTTTAAACATGCCCTTATCCTATTAAAATGAGCCTTTTTAAAATTAAATGTTTTTGTTCAGCCCACGTGAATTTGTATGGTTTTATCGTTAATCTCAAATGATACCATATTATGTTCACTATTCCCCAAGTGCTCCCAACTTGAATGTTTGAAAATAAGTCAACATTATTAGTTATTTCCAACAAACATAAGGAACTGTACTCAACCCCATCAATCTGAGCCAGGTTGCACCCAAACCAGGACCAAGCACCAGGTTCCAAAGGCAATAGCATAAAATACAAAAATCGTTCAGGCACTCCAAGATCCAGAAATGGTAAATTTATTGAAGCCCAAAGTAACACAATGTTTCAACCTTGTGGTCTTTGTCAAGCTTGACTAAGATCGCAAGGTCGAAACGTTTTGTTACTTTGGGCTTCAATAAATTTGCCATTTCTGGATCTCGGAGTGCCTGAAACAACATTATTTGTTATGACAACATCCAACACACATTTATTCTAGTTGGTGCTTCTACTAATTGAGACATGAAAGCATTATTATCAGGTTCACAAACATCACAAATCTGTTTCCCTTAACCGCTCGTCCCTCTGGCCCAATCAATGTCTGGTTAATTAAAATCTCCAATTATTAACAAATTACCCAGTTGTGCAGCCATATTAATTTGAGATAGCAGTTGATCTTCCCCATCAGCATTAATGCTTATTAAAGGATGCCCCCTATTTTCTGGTATTTTTACCTATACGGCTTCCACTTTCTCATCTGTAACATCATAAACAATTTCTTTAATGCTTGCCTCAACTCAGATTTAATATAAAAGCATATCCCGCTCCCTTTTCTATTTTTTTTCTATCCTTCCTAAATAATGTACATCCACTTAAATGAATACCACAGTCAAGTGTTTCATCCCAACTAATCTCAGTAATCCCAATATAAACTAAAACAATATCCAAATCTAATATTGCCTATTGGCTTTTGCCTTTCAGTTTTTGAACATTTTTCTTTTTTCCTGCTGCAGCTACTCCCCATTTTTTTATTAATATAAGATTGCAAAAGGAAAAACAATCAATCATCATTATAAAACAAGTTCTCTCACTTAATTTATTTTAATACAGATATATAAAAATGTAATTTTGACAACTCAAAATTGGTATTTCAAAAATAGCTAGAGATTAGGCTGGCAATGTGTGTATGTTGTATTCTGTATGTGTGTATGTTGCGGTATTCTGCGTGTGTTATGCATGGGTGTTGCAGTTGCTTTGTTAGGTTGTATGAGTACATATGTGGGCAGTGTTATATTGTGCATGTGTATGAGCAGTTAGTGATATTGTGTGTCATATGTATATATGTGAGCTGTGTATCATATTATCTGTGTTAATGTGGGCTGTGTATGTGGGACTAATTGTGGCATTGTGTGTGGGCAAAATGTTGTATTGTGTGTGGTGTTATATGTATGTATGTTGGCTCTTTGGCATATTATTTTTCAGCCGTATAGAAGTCTACAGCCTAATGTGTTGATGTTTTATAAATAATATTAAATATATATATTATATTTATATAGTGAAAATTTTGAAAATGCCTTTCAGATCCTACTGGGTGACATTTTTATGTATTCCTCATTTTCAGGTCCTTTACTAGAGCTTAGGAGTCTGAAGATTCTGTGCCATATCATAGAACTGCACTCGTTTGGACAGTGATCTCAAAAGAGTACAGCTACTGAGGAAGCTCACAGAAGAGTGAAACACGTTTAGCTGGATTTTGGACCTTTTTACTTGGACTTTTTTTTATTATTTTTTATACTTAGTATCATATACTATAATACTAATTTACCTTTTAATATTCACATATAGTAGTCCAAAAAGTCCTTTCTAGCCTTCAGGAAACTCATTTGGGGAATGCTATACCAACTAAATTAGCATACTGCCAATCAACCTCAGAGCCGGGAATCCAAGGCTCTGTGTAAGGTGAGCACAACCATCATCACCTATACTATATCTTTCTCTTATACAGTACTGCACATCTGGTTTGTCTCTTTTTAGTTCTATATACCCAGAGGAATACCGTTTGGGACAAAGGGGTGTGTTGATGCCTTAAAAGCAAAAAGGATTTACTTATGGAGCCAATGTCATATAGGCTCAAGCACATGTGAGTGGTTCTAGCCATCTGTTACTATCACTCACCCTTATTTGTAAACCATCTGCACTATATTCTCTTATTTTGTTGTGTTTTATATGTACATTTAAGTATAAACTCTCAAGATTGTCACTGTATTGGAGGAGTAAGTGTACCCCCTTATATTTTACACTTAATATAGTGCTCCACCCGTTGGTATAAAGTCTATACCTTTTTTTTTGTAATAATCAAGTGTCCCACCTTGAATCTATTGAAGCCACTATCCCAACTTGGGGTTCCATCACTGAGTGCTTCTATCACAACTGAGACTACTACTGCCTTCACTTTCTAATTCCTTTCTAGCTCTTATTTCAGCCCTTGGCATTTATTCACCTTCACGTGATCCTTTTTCATGCTGTTACAGTCAGTAGGTATTGCCACATCCACAGCCAGTGTAGTCTTGCATTCATTAACTACCACCACAATGTTGGTTGGCCATTTCTCATGGGGAAAAAAAAGTACATCCTCTTTGAATGCTATGGTTTTACATATCAGGCCATAATAGCAGTCATCTAATCCTTAGAAGGTCTTAAAATTAGATGGGCAACAACACATTATTATTGATATATTACACCATGTCATGATTTATTTAACACAAACGAAGCCAAAATTAAGAAGTTATGTGTCAATAACTAAGTACACCTTATGATTCAATAGCTTGTAGAACCATCTTTAACAGCAATAACTTGAAGTAAATCTTTTCTGGATGACTTGATCAATCTCTCACATCATTGTGGAGGAATTTTGGCCCACTCTTCTTTACAACGTTGCTTTAGTTCATTGACCTTTGCTGGCACTTGTTTATGCGAATCTGACTTAAAGTCCTGCCACAGTATTTTAATCTGGTTGAGGTCTGATCTTTGACTGGGCCATTGCACCACTATGATTCTTTTCTTTTTTCAGCCATTCTGTTGTAGATTTGCTGGTGTGCTTGGGTTCATTGCCCTGTTGCCTGACCTAATTTTGGCCACGCTCTAGCTGACGGACAGATGGCCTCTCATTTGAATACTTTGGTATACAGAGGAGTACATGGTCGACTCAATAACTACAAGGTTGTCAGGCCTTGTGGCTGCAAATCAAGCCCAAATCATCACCCCTCCACCATCATGCTTGACATTTAAGAATGAGGTGTTTGTGCTGATATGCTGTGTTTTGTTTTCACCAAAACGTGGCACAGTGCATTATGGCCAAACATCTCTACTTTGGTCTTGTCTGTCTAAAAGGCATTGTTCAGATACTACTTTGCAAACCTAAGACGCACTGCTATGTTCATTTTAGAGAGAAGAGGCTTTCTCCTGGCAACCTTTCCAAACAAACCATACTTGTTCAATCTTTTTCTAATTGTTCTGTCATGAACATTAACATTTAACATGATACCTGAGGTCTGTAGAGTCTGAGATGTAACTCTTGTTTTTTTGTTGTTGCAATTTCTCTGAGCATTGCATGGTCTGACCTTGTGGTGAATTTGCTGGGATGTCCACTCTTTGGAAGATTGGCAACCAGACATCCAAAGTCTCCTGGAGGTATTGGGAGACTCCTGCATTTTTATGGGGCTCCTCTACACTCACAAGTTATATACAATATCCTGGAACGGAGATACAATCTGACTTACAATGTATGTACTGTATATAATGTGCAGCCACCATTTAATGCCCACCAAACAGGGGCCGGTCGTGTCTCACAGCCCTTGAAGTGTGCTACTGGGCCCCTCTGATATCAACCAACTGGGACTGAAGACCTGTCACTTCCTCCCTGTTTCACGGAGAGCCAGGAGGAATGGAAGGGGAGGTTTGGAAGTGGCGGTGCACACAGCAGCATGGAGGCAGAGGAGAGGCTGGAATAAGCTGCTGCATGCTCACTCCCATCAGCCTCAGCCACCATCACAAGGACCCCAAGCAACCCACCCTCCTGGACACAGAAAGGTAAGACAACAGGAGTGTGGCTGCAAATACAAACATTTTAGCATGCATGTATGTGTATGTGTGTGTGTGTGTGTGTGTGTGTGTATGTATATGCCAGTGTGTATATCACGTTTCAGGGTATATCTGAGTGTGTGTGTGTGTGTGTGTGTATGTATGTCAGATTGTGTGTCAGTGTGTGTGTATCTGAGTGTACCTCAATGTGTGTGTATGTGCAAGTGTGTGTATCTGAGTGTGTGTATATCTCCCTGAAATGAGTATTGCATGTTGGGATCTCAGGGCAAATGTCTTGAATGTTTTCCACTTTTGAATAATCGTTCTCACTGTAGAATGGTGGACTTTAAATTATTTGGAAATGGCCCTATAACCCTTCCCAGTTTAATGGGCAACAACAATTGTTTCTCTAAGATCATTGCTGTTGTCTTTCCTCCTTGGCGTTGTGGTAACACACTCTTAACCAAATTGTTAGAAATAAGTAATCATAAATTAACATACATACATATATAACTCAACACATAGTGTTATATAGAGACCCAACCGTCTTTGCCAATAAACATACAGTGGTTCCTAATCACCACTTCCTCTCACCTCCCCCCTCGTCATAAAATCATATCCTTCCAATGCCCGCCATCAGCCGACCTTATCCACGCTCGATGGGCACGACACCTCAGGCAACCTAATGTTAACCCTTTGAAGCACGGGAGGTTGAGACCTGCAAACATAATGAACTTACTCCATCCTTAAACATAACCCCTCAAACTTAATTGGCAAGGACATACCCCCGGCTCGCTGTGACTAACTAATACAAGGGGTGGGCGGGCGGGAAGCTGTTTGCTGGCCCGAATCCCAAGTGGCACTGAGGTAAGACCTCCCCCCTACTAGCTCACATAGAGCTAACCCCACCCACACACACACACTTCCCAAGACACTCCCACGCATCTATCCCCACACTCCTACATGTGCCCTTGTCCGCTTAGCTGCGCTATCTCCCCAGGGCCTACTTGCACCTTTTAACTTAGAGAACTGACCATTCTCAAAAACATGCTTTTATTTTTTAATTTGTTTTCCTTTTCTTCTTATAACATAATTTTCTTTATAGTTTTACTGGATATTAATTACGGATTTGATTTGATATGAAGTTCAGGATAATTCTTTACTATCTCAAAGACGTATATATCTTGAAAATTAAATCTTTTCAGGGATTTTCTTGTCCGTAACAAATTATTGCTGGGTTATCACTTCCCTCCTATAATTAAGTCATTTAAAAAAAAGTTTTTACATACATCAACTTCATTAGTAACTAAATGACACTCTGATAAAAGTTTAACCTCCTGCTGTTGGCTTCTGGCAAGCTGATTATAACATGAT